TTGAGACTTTGAGTAGTGGATTTAAGCAGGCTATCAATAACTGATCTTTTGTCTATTAATTATTATGTCACGCGCACGGAGCTTTTGCAACATGATGTTCATATTGACTATTTATTTCTCTAAAATCCCGATAAACAAGCAAAATAATTTAAAATAATTTATAATTTATCTGTCAAAACCAAATAACAAGAGAAAACAAGTATAAATCCTCACGTTTCGACAGTCTATCTGAGCAGGCTGTGTCTAGACGTACTGCATGTCTACTGATAAGTGTCTGTCTACATAATCGGCTGTATATTATATACATTATAATTTCGTGATAACAAAACACCCCCAGAGCAACATTTGCTCATATATTTGTCTAAATTTGAAGGAAATCGGAGTTTTACCGGAAAGGGAAAATTGATTTTTAAAAAATGTACCAAACTTAAAATTTTTTAACTTAAGGTTTTTCTTGTGATTTTCCCGATATTATAGTCAGTATAATTCCGCGGTAACAAAAAGCCCCAAAATAATTTTTACATCAGCTTTTAGAGCAACAGCTTCTCTTTAAATTGCCTAAATTTCAAGGAAATTGGAGTTTTCCCGGATACGGAAAATTAATTTTCAAAAAGTGTAAGAATTTAGAATTTTTTGGATCGCAAAATAAGGCGATTTTTACACGCTTGCCTTGACTTTGAAACATTATTTAAAAGATTGCAAAATAGACTATCGTTGTTTATAAACATCTTATATACACGTTTAAAAACCGAAAGTGAGGTTTCCTGAAGACGCGAACTCAGCAAAGCGAAGTTTTCGAGAGGCTATGACTCACTATGTTTTTAGCTAATTTCACGAATCTTGGGTACATGTCAGGTTTTGATAATTTTTCGGCGTTTAAAATAATATTTCAGAAAACAAACCCCATCACGTTTCTAAGTATACATTAGTGTATCACTGGACAAAATAAGAAAACATTTCATTTTTCATCATGTGCCACCAGTTGCTCGGTGATAGTGGAGATTCCCTCTTAAAGTGCTCTTTATAAAACTAAACTGCCTTTATTCTTTAATTAAATGGCTTTATCGATAAACTTTGAGTTTGCAATAAAATGATTTCAAATTCTTGCATGCAAATAACTTTGCTTTCTTTTTTATTTAAAAATATTCAATATAATAAAAAAGGGAATCAATATTAATTAAAGATACACTGAAATGGGGCCCGATATGCTGTCTTGTTTAGTTGTTTCATATTCGCAAAGGCCGTCTGGTTATAAAGCAGTTATAAAATCAATTTTTAAAACAAACTTACCTTTGTTCACGTCGGCTCCCTTCTTTTAGCCGATTCTTTCGCCATTTCTTTCTTGGAATTTACAAAATCCTGCAAAAATGCGAGCAAAAATGAAATATATTTGCAAGAAATTTATCAACCATCAGATCAAGAAATGTTTGCTATTTCGCTGTCGTCATAATGCAAACTTTAAATTGGACCAATCACAGTGTTCGCTATTCATAACAGTCCGCCATATTTTTGAGATCAGTGAGGATGATCACCCACGGTTGGTGACCCACGCCCGCGATATTTGATGAACTTTAGACTTCGCTAATGCTTTCGTTTTCCCGGGTGTATAGATAGCCGGGAAGAGTTAGTACCCTCGCACGGCGCTTCGCGCTGTCGGCTCGGGGATAACTAATATACAAGTAGAATAATCTTGCGTTCAGAAAAACGGGGAGGAGGGTGGGTTAAAAAACTTGACTTTAAAATACAGACGATTTTGCTCTACCAAAGCGAAGAGCAGAATGAACCAGATGCGCATTCTGCTATACAGATATGTATCACCTCTCCCTTCCGTTTTCTTGCACGCATTACATTCATGTGATCAGAAAATTACGGGGAAAATACCCATGTGTCCCATGTCAAGTTTGTCTATTTATATATCCTAAGCTCAGGAAGCAATAAAATCTTCATTGGTATGCCAATAATTCCTTTACATAAATTCAAACATTGAAATGTACTTGCGAACTTTGTTGCGAGGCTTACGCCCAATCTTCGAACTTGGAAACGTAATTGGCAAGTTTGTAACGAACTTGGGAGGCAATGATTTGTGCAAGGCAATGATTTGTGCTCGAATAGGGCAATGATTTGTGCTCAAAATGAGTGAAACATGTTTAAAATACAAAGTTAGGGACCGTTCATTATTTATACCCGGGTGTGGTACTGAATAGGTATGGGTTGTGTAATCAAGCTTTTGACTAGCTGATGGGTTGGGTAAAAACATTTGTGGCTCTCCGTCAGCTATAAAATTTAACTAAAATTACCATGCATTGGAAAATATGAAGAAAAATGTGTACAGTACATTCTGTATTTTACACATTTTTGAGTAAGCTTTTAGAATTTAGGCAACTTGATTTCTGTCGTCATAATCTTGTATGTTTAATTCTTATGAAGTATACAGTAACACATGGGTGGGTAAACATTATTTTGACCAATGTTGAGGTTGGGTAAATAAAAAATGTACACTGTTTTTCGCTTCTCTTCGGTACCAGCCCCAGGTATAAATAATGAACGGTCCCTTAGAGCTCGACAACTGGACTCTGCAGCTCAGTTGGCTTTAGCACTGCACCGAGATCGCACGACTGTCATCCTGAGAAATAAATGTCATAGTTTTTATCGGTAAACGTAAAGGGATATGGAAGCGGACTCAACAACCCAAAGACTGCAACCCAAGGACGAAAAAAAAATCATGCGGCGTACAATAGAGAGAAAAAACATGCAAAGAGAGCGCTCAACATTTACATTCCTACATGTAAATCTGCTGACGCTCTCTTCAGTATTGTGTCCACAGGCTTGCAAGATTTTCCATTTTTGAGCAGGCACATTTACTTAAAAGAACACATGGGGTAAACAGTGGACAACATCACAGGAATTCAGCGTATACCGCTTTTAGAGCCTCTAACCTATGATATGGCAGTGGCGTTCCCTGACAAAATTGTTGCCCCCTTTCCAGATAAAATTTGGCCTTAAGATATGTACAAGTTTATAAGTTATTTATACATATCTAATATGCATGGTAGAAAAAGTATTTTTGAACGGTTGAGTCTATGTGCGTGCGTTTTTTGATAACATAGCTCCAAACTATTAAAGCTTCAATTAAAGGGTCATCTACAGGATGCAAGTTGAACTATACTGTATATACGATGATTTTAATGCGAAAATGCCAGTTTAGAGAGTCAAGATTTTAAAATATTTCTGAGGAGTTTCAACCCGATCCCCAACAAGCCTTCTGTATGAACGATCGAAAAGCTACATGCTGAGCTATATTTGGTGGAACATTGTTGTTTCGGAGGGCAGTTAAAAATTGCAGTATTGAAATCCTGTTTTATTACATATTAATCAAAGCTCATTTTGTGAAATTCAAATCAAATTCTCTTAATTTGCCACAAAAATAAATCAATAATTTATTTTGTACAAGGGATGACTCCTCTTTATATAGATTGTTGAACGGACAGCATAAATAGAATAGATCGTGGTAAAACTTTCCCTTGTTTAAAATAAGTGACAGTAAGTGTTTCTTAGGCTTAGTACAGCAAAGTTGTTGGACGAATCCATGGCAGAATACGCAGGAAATAGCATTTTCGAAGTTCAACTTTTAAACTTTTTCGGAGGACATGCTCTCGGACCCTCTCCAAGGATACGGGGTGGTTGTATAATTTACCCTACCCTTACGTTCGAATACGATACTCTATCCCTGCATGTTTTACAGTTTGGTGCAGTTATACATTTTTTGTAAGTAAACCTGCACGCTTTAGTGTGGGAAACATTAAGACATATAACCATATAAAATAAAGCACAGTGAAAATTTCTTGGCCCCTCTTGGGATTTTCTCGGCCTTCCCAGAGTAAAAAACCTGACTACGTCTCTGACGATAGCGATATGAAAGCCTTTAAGTCACTGTAAGCCGTTATTATGAGTGGCAAAAAAATATCCTGCCGCGAAATATATTGGAAAAAAATATCTTGCGCTGCACTTTACAGGAAAAATTATCAGTCTTGTTCCCCTGGCCGGGAAGAAATTCTTGCACGGTCTGCTTATATATGAAATAAATATCCACTCCAATTTTGTTTCAAATATTTAACATATATTCATATTCCTACTCAATATTCATATTGCTATATAGCAAATATTCATATACAAACTACTTTAAAACCCAATATTCAATATGCCACTTCCTTTTTCGAAACCTAAATGCTTAAGTTCTCCGCCATCATGGATTATTGTGGATATGTATGTTATATCACAAGCCAGGCTAGCACATTTGCTCAGGTCAAAAATTGTTCCAAGGTGGCGCGTACAGTTCATTATTTTTAATCGAAGAGTTTTCTGTTTGATTTAAAAGTTTTTTCAAATAAAACAAATTAAAATTTTTTGCCTGATATCTCTTTAATTACACCCACTTAACATGAACCAATTTTTTATACGACAAATGTTTTTGACAATATTGTTGTTGTTTACATTCAAGTCCAATTTGTGGCAAGTTATCCATGGCCGAAAGCAGCCAAAGTTGCGGTGTACACGACAAAAAGGTTGTCCAAGAAAATTTGTTCGTGTAGAAAAATCTTTTGTTATGACAAAAAGATGGCTCGCAACGAAACAGTTAAAATATAAAAAAAAATTTTGTTTAATAGTCAGATCCAGCCGAGTTGATTGAAACTGCAAAATTGGCTTTGGAAAGAGGAGAATTAGAGATCGCTCAGTGTTACTCCGTTAATGCCATACGAACAGTTATGTTGGACAACTCATACAAAAGAAATCCAGAGCCGTATCGTTACTTAGCTGAAGTCCTAGAGAGGAAAGCAAAAGACAAAAATTTAAAGTTGCCGCAAAGACAACGATTTCTGCTTCAAGCTGCAGCATTGTATAACTTTGTGCGCAACTTTTTAAAAACAGAGGACGTGGAAGGCCAACTGTCGAAAACGTAGTCGAAAATTGTTTCTCGTAAGCTACTTGATATCCAAGACAGCATGGATGAAATGGTTGGAGGAAATCCTTTTCACTGCAAATTTGACTCAGAGCTTAAAGAAAATGAGCTAAAAAATTTAAGGAATGAGGTAAAAAAATCGTTGGAACCTATGGAGTGCCGTAGATCGTCTAAGAACACAGAATCATTGAACAAATGTGATGTGCGACAAATGCTGAAAGATGAAACCGAGGAGATAGAAAGACTATCTGATCGCATTTCGGTTAGAATGAAGCAGTTCCTGGCAGCGTTAATTAACGAAAGTTTAGATTTACTTGGAACACCACCTTGTGATCATGAAGTCATTGTTCTTGGTTCATTAGCGAGAAATGAAATGACGCCATACTCCGATTTCGAATGGGCTATTCTCACGAATTCAGAAGAAGAAGAATGTAAAGTTTTCTTTCGAAATTTAAAAAACCTGGTTTATTTGCAGGTAGGCAAAGTTTTTTACTCGTATAATTTTCGGTAGTCTTATGTTTCTATCTTATTAAGCCCCGTTTTCATTGGCAAGTTTTATTTGTGTACGAAAAAAATTGACAAACAAAAGGCAATCCAGACGAGAGATAAATGTTAAAGTGTAGGAGCAACAAAAAATTTTGTTGCTTCACTGAAAGAGCATGAAGAAAATAAGCCGATTGGCCGTTTAATGCTCTATTTTATCTCATCTTGTTCTGAAGTTATACGCAAAAATGTGCAAAATATAAATTGCTGATTTAGCACACCGTGTGACGTCATTAGCTGGGTAAGTATGTTTAATGAATACTAAACTGAAGCATAATAGCTCAGTTCTTATGCGCCCAAATCAAATTAAATTTTGGTTGCTGATTGTACATGAGACGCATTGAAAAACACTTCTAATTTTTCATAGCTTTATCATGGTAACTATAAGAATCATGGTAACTATCAGAAGTATGTGTACCATACCTATGCATGCCAACAGTTTACTTGCATGATAATAATTCGAAAATGACATACACATAGATAAATGCAACTAGTTATTCAAAAACAGTGTAAGGGGTCTGGAAACGAGTGTGTTGCCTTGACAACAAAATTAGAAGTATTTTCTAATGCGTCTCATCATGTACTATCTGTATGTAAAATTTCATTTGATTTGACCCAACAATAACTGAGCTATGCTTCAGTTTACTATAAACTTCAATAAACATACTTACCCAGCTGACGTCACACGTTGTGCTGAATCAGCAATTTATATTTTGCATATTTTTCGTACAATTTCAGAACTAGACTAGACAAAACCTATTGTATTTTCCGAACATGAAGTATCTAAAGTTGTTGTCATGGTAACACGATAATTTTTTAAGAATTAAGAATATTCTTACAAAAGAAAAATCGCCTAAATATATCACTTTTAATTACAAAATTATCAATTTCCCAACATATATATGTTATTATACGTAATATAAGCTTCAATTTAAGGTAAAATTCAACCACAATTAACGCTTCGCAAAACGTTCGTTTTAAAGTGTTCTTTATAAAACTAAACCGCCTGCAATGAAATGGCTTTATCGATGAACGTTGAGTTTGCAATAAATGATTTCAATTTCTCGCATGCAAATAACTTTGCTTTCTTTTTTATTTATTTAAAAAATTCAATATAATAAAAAGGGAATCAATATTAAAGATACACTGAAATTTTATGCTGTCTTGTTTAGTTGTTTCATATACGCAAAGGCCGTCGTGTTTTAAAGCAATTATAAAATCAATATTTAAAACAAACTTACCTTCGTTAACGTCGGCTCCCTTCTTTTAGCCGATTCTTTCGCCCTTTCTTTCTTAAATTTACAAAATCTTGCAAAAATGCGAGCAAAAATGAAATGTATTTGCAAGAAATTTGCCAATCATCAAATCACAAGAATGATCAAATCAAGAAATGTTTGCTATTTCGCTGTCGTCATGCAGTCGTTAGTAATGCAAACTTTAAATTGGACCAATCAGTGTCCGCTATTCATGACCGTTCGCCATATTTTTGAGATTAGTGAGGATGACCACCCACCGAACCACTCACGGTAACCCACGCCCGCGCTCATTGATGAACTTTAGACTTGGCTAATGCTTTCGTTTCCCCGGGTGTAAATAGCCGGGGGGGAATTAGTACCCTCGCACGGCGCTTCGCGCCGTCGGCTCGGGGATGAAATAGAATAGAGCATTAAACGGTTAATTGGCTTACTTTTTTATGCTCTTCCAGATGAAGCAATAATTTTTTTTGTTGCTCATACCCTTTAACAACATTCTGTGTACACGAACAACAAAACTTGTTGAGCTTCACTCTAAATCCTATTTACTCGCTTTCGCCAAACGTACATTATTCGATTTTATATTTGCCTCGACGTTCCGTGTCTCGGTAAATATCCGTTATGAATGATGCTTAAACATATTGGTCTCCGTCCATGCATTTACTCTGTTCTCTGATTGGCTATCCCCATTTTAAGACAGCCTGAAAGTAGCGAACTTCGTTTCAAAGTTTTGAATTAGCTACTTTTGCAATTTCGCAACACGTAGCAGAAACTTTATTTGAAATGAAGTGCAATAAAGCGTAGGGGGCGAAAATCGTGGGGGGAGGGATGGTGAAAAAGTATAGAATAAACAAAGCAGGAAAGGAAAACATTTAGCGATGAAAAACACGGGTAAAGCGAAGGGTGGCATGAGTGAAAAACAAAAATAAATGGAAAAGAATCCAGGGTAGGAAGTCTACCAAAGTTGGAAATATATTTGAGCAATCTTTACCTTACTTTAGATTATCAACCTGGGAGAAACCATTTTACCCAGTATGAATTTCAAAGCAATTAATGAGGAATGGTTTTATGATGACATAACAACAAGAGGAGTTTCGTTTGATGGGTTTCTTCCACAAGCGTGCAAAACGCCTTTAGGAAATATGCCATTAGGAAAGAGGCTAGAATTTGAGCTGATAGAAAATATGCCGCAATTTGAATTGATAGAAAATATGCCGGAATTTGAACTGATAGAAAATATGCCGGCATTTGAACTGATTTATACACCAGAGAAAATGGCAAATTTCCAGAACAACGATTGGTATCGCAAGAATTGGAAATTAGGAGACACCTTATTGACCTTTTCCCCTCTGCAACCGGATAAACACATATTAGTTGATGCTTATCGGAGAGAGATGGCTAAAATCTTGTCCTGTCCTTGTGATTCAGCATGTTGTAAACATGATACTTCGTGTGGTGCTTGGCCTACCCGGGGATCTTGCCGAGGGCTGAGAACTCTTTGCGAAGATGTGTCCCGTTATGGGGATGTGGTGATCGGCAATAACGTCTTGGACGATGGGAAAATTTATGATGTCAAAAAGGAAATTTATCGTTTAACAGACCGTGTATTTGCTGCACTGGCCAAATGTTATGAAGTTGATGCAAGCGGAACTTTTGCCATACTTGACGAACTTTACAGGAGGGAAATAATTTTGTCGGAAACAAGAGATAACTTTGCAAGTGCTTCGGCCATTGCAATCAAGCTGAGAATAAGTACTTATCTCAAAGCTGGAAAACAAGGGGAACAGCTCATGGCAAGTTCAAACTACGAAACAGAGACTTCCGCTTACTATATGCCAAATAGTGAAGAACTGTTTCACTTTTTCTTTATTGCCATTCCTTTGTATGAAGAGTTAAAAAAGCTGAAGGCAGCCGGAAACATACCGCCGTCGCTTAAACAAAGTTCATTCTTTGACGATTCTGACGCCACAATGGGTCATATATATTGTCGCTTGTTAAACTATGACGAAGCTTTTAAATGCTACGACCGTACTCTTCAACAGGATCCAGAAAACCTGAGTATTGAAATCCGTCGAATAAGCATTGCACTTTGTATCACAAAGGGCACAGAAGAGATGGATAAAATTCGAGAAAATTTGGATACATTGTTGTGTAAGATAGACCAAAGTTGGTCTGAGCCGCATCAGAAAATCACACCATTTGTCAGACGCATGGACTTCCAGGAAATTCAGCAATTGCTAGAAGTATTGCTTGTGGCTTCCTCATTTTTTGATTGTCCCAAATATTCTGAATTGGCAGGAAACATTCTATCCCAAAAGAGTACTATAAGGAAAGACAGTGCACGTGGTGGAACAGAATGGGTTGAATTGGTCTTGATGGAAATCGCGTTACAGCGATATTTACCCGAGAGTTCTGATCAGCAGCACCTAATTTACATCGTCACTTCTAAAATGTCATCTTTAATTGACGAAGAAGGTGTGAGCATTAAAAGTATTCGGTGGTTAAATAGGCTTGGTGAGATTCTACTTGAAATGCGTAATCTTGACAAAGCTTATCGTTGTTTTCAAAGAGCATTGAGTATGGAGCGTCTCCTTTACCAAACCAAACCAAACATGAATACGATGACATCTTTATATTTTCTTGGGACGACGTCATTCTACTTGTCAATGTGTAGGGAAAGCAAATTTTACTTCGAATCGTTGGTGCAACTGTTTGAATCATTTGGTAGACCTAGCGCTAGATTAATGGACGTTAAGAAAGCCTTTTTGTACTTGGCGTTGGTGAGCCAGATATTGGGAAATTCTGCGGAGGAATCTGTGTGTTACTTCGAGAAAGGTATAAAAGCAACCACAGGAAGCCGAAATGATGCAGAATTAAAATTAGATTGTTTGCTCTACTGTTACTTAGCGGATACATGGCATGCTCAACACAACCAAGAGCAAGCTTGGAAGTCTGCTTTGGAAGGAAAAGCCTGCATAAGAAAAATTGTTAGAGTTCAAGTCAGAGCACAAACGACTTGTCATCTTGCTAACACCTTGGCTAAAATACAGAAAACAAATGAAGGAATTGAAATATTGAAGGAAGAAGTTCAAGAACTCACTTCCCAGTCTCAGATGAAAGAAAAAGCCTTGTGTCTGACGAAGCTTGGTAAACTTTGTTTTGAGCAAGGCTTGGCGTCAGATGCCTAGAATTATTACAAACAAGCGCTAGAGATTATGGATATGCAGGGTAATAAAGCTGTTTTTGTCATCTTGGAGTGTCGCATTGGCATTTCAAAAGCCATTATGACGAATAACAGGGTATCTGAAGCAAAGACATTTTTAGATGAAGCTTTCATTTTAGCCAAAAAATTGCCTGCGAGTTTGGAAAAAAATATTTATGTTGAAGATATGGGAAAATTCTATGAAAGTCGTGTTCAAGATATGGAAAAATTCTGCGAAAATCTTGGTTACATCCGTCGTGCTCGAGAATGCTTTGATGAGGCCTTAAGAACGTACAGACAGCTTTCAATCGTCGTCAAGAAACCTCCGTTCAAGGAGGTTTTAATAGAGCTGAAGCTTGGGAAATTAGCAAAGGACGTTTGTGCTATTGTCTCAGTCGACCCTGAAATTGCGATGCAGGCTCAGCGAAGTCATTATGATCGCGCGGCTGAAGCAGTACGGCAACATGTAGCAACCGGACAAGTTGACTCGTCAACTGTTGAAATATTTTTAAAAGTGGCTGTAGAGTACCTGTCAGTGGACTCAAGTGAAATGATAAGACTTTTGTTGGAAACTTTATGTGTTAGCGAAATAGTATACGGAAAAAATAAATCAAATGAGGCGGGCATCAAGACACTTGAAGACATACTTTTGCACACCAACCTCACGAAAGGCGATTTGCAACCCTTGAACTCAAAAGAGCTTCTAATATGCAAGGACATGGAACTGCATTTATCAAACTCATTTTATGAAAATATATCCGCGAATTTGATTATGTTGGCCTTTGGTTCCTTTCAATATCCCGTCGGTATTAATACTATCGAATGTGCTTACAAATTCCTTTTATCTGCTCCGAAGGACAAGGCTTCAACAGACAGTACCGCAAAAGCAGTCGCTGCCGTACGTTTTACTTGTCTAGGCATATTATTCCATAATTCAGGTGACTTGGAAAAAGCCGAGACGTCAATCAGGTTGGCAAGTCAGTTATTTAGCGAAATTCCAGAAAGTGTTGAAAGAGAAAAACTACCGTTCAAAACAACTTGCGACACCATGAAAGAAATATTATCATCGAAGACGTTTTCACCATCAGATAAATATTCTTTAATGAACGAAGTTTGTGATAACTGGGATAGATTCTGGGAACATTCGAAACTTCACAAGGAAGGTCAAGATACCTTGGCTGAAGACTCAAAAATTTCGGAGAGGTGTAGCAATGGTCCGCAAAATGTAGAGTTGTTCATTCCATGTTTCAATGGTGTGAAGCTTCTAGAATTTCATTCTTCAGATCCTAAGACTGTAGACCTTCCATCGCAAACAGTGTCACAAAGGAATCTCCCTGTTGAATTCAAATCATTTCCTGATGCTTTACTCAATCCAGAATCATCCAACCTGGACGTAAAACAAATTTTACTGCATACTTATTTAGATGCTCTCTTGTATAACATGAAGAAAGACAATGATCATCAGGCTGTAAAAATATACACATTTCTTCAAGCTCATGGGTTATTTTTTTAAGAAAGCTATCCCTATGATAGTGTTGAAAAGATAATCAGCTATGCGATTAGAGCGAAGGAAAAAAAACTGTTTGATGTTGGCATTAGATGTTTAGATTTTGCTTTACAGCGATCATCTAACTGGAGACAAAAAACCAAGATTATTAAATTGCGTGGGGAATGTTATTTATCCAGAGGTGATTTTCGAACCGCTACAATTAATTTCAATAAAGCCGCTGTCATATATTCCAGCGAGACAGTAGAAACCGGTGATGACCTGCGTGAATATTCCGAAGTGTTGATTGGTTTAATGAAAAGCGAGATGCTGTGCCAGAATGGAGATGGTGCATGGCTGAAATGTCGAGAGGCGATAGAACTGGTGTTTAATCATCAACATAGCGAATCCGTACATGTGCAAGTGATAGAGTTGCTTTTGCTTGGAGCAAAATGTCTGGATGTTTTGCCAGAAAGTGCAGAAAGCAAAGATGATAAGCTTTCCGAAACTTGTTCTTTGTGTCAACGAGCTCTTGCCTTCATCCAGCACGTTGATCAGACAAGGAACGCCAGTGACTTGGTGGAAGAACTTGGAAGCTCGGGACCAGGGAAATATTTTGCCTTGAAATGTGAAGTGCAACTGTTTTTGGCGGCCGTTTTTTCAAAGTTACATAAACAAGAAGAAGCACTAAGAATTTTGGAAAAGACGTTAAAATTTTTTAAAACGATTTTCGACAAAGATCTAGATAAACTTGAATTAAACAAAGTGAGTGGTCGCATATTTTCATATTTTTGTCGAATGGCAGTTATGCCTGATAAAATAAAGCGATTATCTATTTTTCAGACTGAGTCACTCTTGGTGTTTTCTTTATCTGCTCTTCCCGATATGTTGTTATTTTATGAAGAATTTCTTCCTTTGCTACAGGCAATTACTGTTATTGAATTCAGCATTAACAGACACGTAAGTCGCTCTTCGTTTCAACAGGCTCTTAATATGTGCAAAGATGTGTTGGTAGAGCAGGGCAATGATTTAAACAACATCTACGCGTTTTTAAAAACTTTGGCAAATCTCTACATGAGCCTCGGGAGCACTGAAGAAGCAATTGTTGTAGCAGAAACTGGTTTAGAAATATGCGATATGATGGGGGATAACAATGTCACGGATCAAATAAACAATCGCGGCAGAATGTTACTTTATCTGGCCCAAATGCACCAGCTAAATTCAACTAACTCGGTCTTTGACAGAAATAAGGAGCTAAATCTTGCAGAACACTATTACTTTACCGAACGAGGCTCAGCAGCGGAATTTGTACTTCGAAAGAATCTAAGCTACGCCAACTTTTTATGCGAACAAAAGCGTTTTGCGGAGGCTGATGCTGTGCTTCGGGATATGAACAATTTAGGCAAAGAATTGTCGGGTAAATCTGTGTATTGTGCCTATTTTTCACGTGCCTTTTATGGTCCGGGCATACAGAAAAGCGTTGAAGTTGACGGCGAGCTATTGTCAACTGTTGAACATTGTATGTACAGCACAATGGTCCGAGTGTTTGTTGGAATGGGAAAGAAAATAGAAGCTGTAGCGGCGTGCGAGAAGCTGACAGCTAAGTAAATAGTTGTTCATGATGCAATTGACGGGAGACGTCCTTCCAGTATCCCATACCTTACCGAGGCCTGTCATCGTGAGTTGTTGTCTCCTTTGAGTGATGAAGACCAGAAACTACTTCAGAATTGTGAATTTCCGTTATCTCCAGCAAATATTTTCAAATTGTATTACATGCTTAACGAATACACTTGGCACTGAAATACTACACGAACGAGACGCAATTACCAGATCTAGACATGATCGAAATGTGTAGGACAATATTTCGAGTGTTTGTTAGAATGGGAAAAAAAAGAGAAGCAGCTGCTGCATGCGAGAAGCTGACTGCTAACCGAATAGTTGTTCATGGTGCAATTGACGGGAAACGTCCTTCCAGTATCCCATACCTTATCGAGGCATGTCATCGCGAGTTGTTGCCTGTTTTGAGTGATGAAGATCAAAAGCAACTCCAGAATTGTGAATTTCTTTTATCTTCAGCAAATATTTTCAATTTGTATTACATGCTTAACGAAAACACATTGGCACTGAAATACTGCACAAACGAGACGCAATCACCCGACTTGATCGAAATGAAAATTTCATGTTTGCGCTTAGCTGGAAATAAGTTAGTGCAAATGAATAGAGGAAATGAATCACATTTATACTTCACGCAATTTTTTGCAATGCTTCAAACTGAAGAGGGATTTCTGGACAAGCCTTTTCATGCTCAATGCGCAATCCTTGCACGATATTCTTTTGCAAATCAATATTACATTTTCCGCTCGTTGGGAGAGATAATATTTGTACACTGTCTAAATTAAGTACTTGTTTGACAGCTACAACACCCGAAACAAACAGAACTTACATTTTCATAGAACGTGTCAAGAAGAACTGGGATAAGCAGACATTCGACTACCATGTTGTTGTCGACGAGTGGAACAGTCTGCTTGTGGAACTCCGGGAAATAGAACAATTTGCATAATCGGAAATTGAACCTAACAAAAAGTTTGACACTTAAGACACTCTGCTGAAGTGATGGGACGCGCGGATATGACATAGCCATAGATTTAAAATTACAGTAACTTCAATTATTTTTCCTGCTCAGGGCTTCACTAAAAATCACTTTGTGAGTGGACCTCCTGGCTTCTGATTCAATATTGTAATTATTATTATTATTATTATCAGTGACTCGTTTGCTTATGAATCGAATGTCTTCTTGTGGACACCGCATCTCGTAAGCGGAGACCATTCTTTGGTCCTGAGCGAACGCCTATATATTCTTTTAATAGCTGAATGATCTTGTATAGGTGAATATTATTCATAATTTCTATATAAAATATCCTTCAACTATTATTCAACCGGGTGAAATGCCAACAAAATCTTGATATTTACCCATTACCTAAACATGACAGTACCCTAGTATATATATTTGAACTTGTGGTTAGAGCTCGACAATTGTCTCTCTGTAGCTCAGTTGGTTAGAGCTCGACAACCGGACTCTGTAGCTGAGTTGGTTAGAGCTCGACAACTGTCTCTCTGTAGCTCAGTTGGTTAGAGCTCGACAACTGGACTCTGTAGCTCAGTTGGTTAGAGCTCGACAACTGGCCTCTGTAGCTGAGTTGGTTAGAGCTCGACAACTGTCTCTTTGTAGCTCACTTGGTTAGGGCTCGACAACTGGCCTCTGAAGCTCATGTGGTTAGAGTTCGTCAACTGGCATCTGTAGCTCAGTTGGTTAGAGTTCGACAACTGGCCTCTGTAGCTCAGTTGGTTAGAGCTCGACAACTGTCTCTCTGTAGCTCACTTGGTTAGAGCTCGACAACTGGCCTCTGTAGCTCATGTGGTTAGAGTTTGTCAACTGGCATCTGTAGCTCAGTTGGTTAGAGTTCGAAAACTGGCCTCTGTCGCTCAGTTGGTTAGAGTTCGACAACTGGCCTCTGTAGCTCAGTTGGTTAGAGTTCGTCCGCTGGCCTCTGTAGCTCAGTTGGTTAGAGTTCGACAACTGGCCTATATGTACCTCAGTTGGTTAGAGTTCGACAACTGGCCTCTGTAGCTCAGTTGGTTACCCTTGTAGAATCGGACATATTTATAACCTATTTTATACCTATTTTTTCTCTATTTAGCCCCATTTTTTCCGTATTTTTTCAAAAATATGACTATTTTATTACTATTTATCAAATTTCATAAAATAGTATATGACTATTCACACCCTATTGAAAATATAGGTTATTTATATTTTTCAAAAAAATAGCTTTGAAATAGATATTCAAATCATATTTGAAAGAGTAATTGACGGAATCTCACTATAAAATAGCTTTTAAATAGCTATTTAATTCCTATTGATGACAGACGAGTCAGTTAAAATAGTTTTAAATAGCTATTTTTAAACTATTTTTGCTTATTTTCTTTGGAACCATTCTTAACATAGTTATTAAATAAGAAAATAAATAGATCTTAAATAGCTATTTAATTCCTGTTCATAGAAAGTTGTGGCGAACTTTGTTCAAAATAGCTATAAAATAGCTGGCCCATTTTTAAACTATGTTTGCTTTTATTTTTGGAGATATTATTGAGTATCGTTAAAATAGTTATTAAATAGGAAAATAAATAGATCTCAAATAGCCATTTAATTCCTGTTCATAGAAAATTGTGGCGAACTTTGTTCCAAATATCTATTAAATAGCTATTTTTACACTATGTTTGCTTTTATTTTTTGAATTTTTAGAGCCATTCTTAGAATAGTTATTAAATAGCAAAATAAATAGATCTTAAATAGCTCTTTAATTCCTATTCACAGAAAGTTGTGGCAAATTTTGTTCAAAATGGCTATTAAATAGCTATTTTTAAACTATGTTTACTTTTATTTTTAGAGCTATTGTTAAAATAGCTAATAAATAGCAAAATAATTAGATCTTAAAAGCTATTTATTTCCTATTCAAGTAGAAAGTTGCAGGGCTGGTTTTAGGAAACAAAGAAAAATGCATATTTTGCAATGGGTCGTTCCAGAAATATCCACACTCCCCCCACAGAGGAAATTTCTGCCGTCCGAAGGGGGAGGGGAGAACAAATTGTTTCTGATAATAGTAAATGTATTAGGACATCCGAAGGAGGTAGGGGGTTAACTTGCAATTTCCTCCGTGGGGGTGGTATGAATGTTTTCTGGAATGGCCCAATCAGAATTCAGAGCGAAAAAAAATTATAGGAAACAAGGGACCATAAAGTTTGGAAAACAAGTAAACATGGTGAAATCTTTGTGGAGGAAAAAGGAAAAATTTGCAAGGGAATACATATCCCCCATAGGACCCCTAGCTCTTGTACTCTACAGTGAATTAAAAATATTAGTTTTTGCACCTCAATTATTTGAAGCTTGAGCCATCACTGGTGCTGCAAAGAAAGCCATGACCAATTCTTCTCAATATGCCTACTGTATAATATAAAAAACTTATCAGATTCTAAAATATAAAAGCTTCATCGCGTTTCAAAGGTTGCCCTCTTTTGACAATAAATGTATTGCATTTTATAAATTTTATACACAAACAGAAGATAATTTTTATGAAAAACAGGACAGATCTCGTCCTGATTTATTTGACTGTTAAACTGCTATTTACTAGGAGTCTTGGTCTTTGAACCGTCTTTCTCAAGAAAGGCGGCCTTCCTTCTGGAAAAAACTCGTTTGGCACATCATGTAAAATTTGCTGAAAGTCCATTTCAGTCTTACAAGAAAGAAATACTATTTCAATCTGCACTAGAAGTATTTTAAATGTTGACAGCCTGGACAGCCGCCGTGTGTTCAGCCTGTTTGAACGCGAAACCACCACAGGCTTGTTTGTAGGAAAATTGAATGCAATATACCAAAAATATAACATAAAAGTCCACAAGACACAACCTTACCTTCAAATATATATTCTAAACCAGAACACCGGTACTCTTCTGGCATTTTTCTGTAAAAATATCCAAGTTTAATCAAGAAAATTTTGTGCTAAAACCTGAAGTGCAAAATCTCAACAGAAAAATGAAGAAAAGAGCGGGGAAATAATTATCCCGATCGGGAAATTGAACTCTTGTTGATTACTGGCTGCTAATTGGACGGATTCCTAACTAACTATCGGGGAAAATTTCCCTCGGCACTTTGCGTCTCCTTGGCAAATGTAAGTACATGTAACAAAAAGATTTGTAGATTTCATATATTTTTTTATATGTCCGTGTACGGAGAAATATGCAGCAAGTTGGACAAAAAATCGCACTGCGAGAAGCACGATGATAATCTCTCTGGAAGTAAGTACTCTCGATATAATAGGCTCTTTTGATAATGGGCCCTATTGATTACCCATTGTATTAAAGCTTTTTGCTTTTACGTTTAAAGTATTAGATGGTTCCATTGTTGCAATTACTATTATACTATTATACTATACTGTTCTATTATAGTGTACTGCCTGCTACTCTTCTAAAAAAAACTACACTGTGCAGTGCCTTACTACAGTGCCTTACTGTAATGTGCAGTACAAACTATATGTCTATATTGACTGGTTGGTTCCATACTTTTAATATTGTATTCTGCCATACTGTACTGTGTGGTGCTGTATTTATAACTATGCATACTACATTGTGGTGTTGCTCTATACTGTATTGTGTCATTCTGTATTCTTCTGTGTTGTGGTGCCTTCCGTGTGAGCCATACTATATTAGAGCTAGCATGCTTCGCTCTGCAGTACTGTACATAATGTTTTATAATGTACGTATACAGTACCACAGCCCAAGACAGACCAGTATGGCAGAGTAGTACCGTACATTACAGTACACTATAAAACAGTACAGTATGGCATGCCATGCTCTAGTATAGTATGGCTCACACAGAAGGCACCACAACACAGAGTGTTTTCTTCTGTGTTGTGGTGCCTTCTGTGATGGCACAATACAGTATAGGGCAAAATAATGTAGTATGCATGCAGGCATCACAGTATAGTATATAATATAACTGCACAGTACAGTACAGTATGACAGAACACAATTAATATTAAAAGTATGGAACCAAC